AACCACTCTAAATCTCGGTTTGCATTTACTTTGAGCATCTTATCTTTACTACAAACCTCCTTAAAAGCTTACTGCCTTCTGCGCATATACGATCGTGTTTCAAGCTCTGTATTTTCCGAATCGGCGTTTAGACGTAAATCATTTTTATCGTACGAACATCATATTTCAGTTTGCGTTTACGTTCTGATTTCTATCATAACTGCAAACTGTCTTTATATCTTTGCTTTAACTGCATCTTGCTTAGTTACAAGTTAAAGTGATTTACGAATCAGATTTTCTATCGAAACCGCTCAGAGATTTACTAAACAAGAATGTATTGATTATACAAAGATATTTTCTATCTAAGAAAGGTTATTTTCATATCATTTTGACATTAGTTACTCACGATGATCTTAAATTGTAACAAATAATATGAAAATAATATTTCTTAATGAAGATCTAAAGGAGAAAGTTTATATGAAATAACCTAAAGATTTCTTCTCTAGGTGAATACTTTATTTGTAAGCTTAGAAAATATCTCACCCATGATATTTTAAATTTCATAAAATAATTTTTTATTTAAATTTATTAAAAATCTCATGGATCAATGTATATATAGAAGGACAATGAGAGTAAAATATATTTTTATTTTATATTATACGTAGATGAAGGGAAAAGATGTAATGATCAAATGCCATTTGATTAATCCACCAATCACAAAGCCAGTAAACAACGTTCTTTCATGCGCATGCAGCACGTACTAGTTTATGCTGCTGCAGTGGATTAACTACGCGACCAACCGGCGCAGGAGTTACCACAGTAGAATAGGAAACAAAGGACCGACTACGTCTTGCCATCACTGACATTGTTCACATGTCCGTACCACACGCAGCAGAAAGCAATTACCACACCGCAGTGAAACCCTGAGCAGAACTTGGGAGTTGATCACCGAAGAGAAACAGAGGCAATGACAAACAAGTCCAGTCTCGGCAGCAGAAATGTTACCGAGACAGAAAGGCAATGGGGAGATGGGGTCAGGTCTATGTTTATTCACACAGAGCGATCAGTTTCACCAGTACTTGTCTACATAAAGATACAAACCAAGGTACAACCACCTATCTCCCCCACGAACCACAGAAGAGACACCCAGATCCGATCGATTTGAATAGCTACAAATTGATGACCTTTGATCAGCCACTAGCTGTTAGAGAATAAACACTAATCTTGGTGAAGATTGTATCTTACGGAAGGAAGGGTGGGACACGCCACCACCGCAGACGAGACCACCCTCGTCGGAAAATCTCGGGCAGAGGTCACCGGTGAGTTTGCGTGATTGGAGAACATCTAAGAATCCAATTTTACCCATTCATAGCGGCCAGGGAGCGGTTGATCTTTCACCACATCGAAGTTGTACCTGACAGAAGATGTCCGCAATTTCTGACTTAATTACATTTAATGAACTCACAGTAATCCTAGCTCATGAAACACCGACAACAACGTAAGTGAATCTAAGCAACAACAAAATTTATGACGGGTGCACCTGCCAACACTCTTGCTTTGCTACAAAATACAGCTGAAGTTATAACTATGACAATCCAACCACTAGGAAGCTCCATTAGGTGGCCTCAGCGATGATGGTATAGACTTTGTCTCGGTACCGAAAGAAAATATTTCAGAAGTTTAGAGAACTGAGGAAACCATACCTTTCTACAAAACTTCTCTGTTGAAGTTGTTCGGGGCCAGCAAAAAGCTCCTCCATTTCAAGGTTCGTTGGTATACTACTGGGAGTTGCTGCCTGCCTCTTGCTTGCGGTCCGCCGAGTCGTTGAACCAGGTGTTCCAACGGTTTCTGAGTCCCTTATCAGATCACAAGGTGTGGGTTCTCTCGCAGTCCTGCAGCCAAAGAACGTATGTATAAGTTTCATCATTGTAACTTGTCAACAATGTCACAAACCAAGCAAGCATGCATTGAAAGAAATAGGGAAGTCCATGATTCAGCACATTAAAAAGAAAAAAAAAATATTTGCCAAAGTCATGAAGATCAACAAATTCATCTCAACAGGCATAACTAGATAAAGCAACTGATTATTCGTCCGAGTATCCTTTTATGTATTCCACTTTAGATCTCCAAAGGTTAACGTAAGGAGAAAACATTAAGCAGCAAGCTAAGTACTTGTTAGAAATACGGGGATCACCATGGATAGCCCGACATCAACTGTCTGCAAATGGTGGATATGACCCTAAACAAAAGCCCTTTGATCATGGTGGGATGATCGCCGTAACAATTCAAACAAAGACTAGTCACATAGTGCTGCTACATGATCGTTCACTGCTGGTCTTACAGTCCACTACAGAAAAAAGTGTCAAAAGCATCACCAAGAATGTGCGAACCATAGACACTACACGCTGCACTATCTGTAGCGGTAGCTCAAAAGATGCCATGCTAGTAACCAAAAAAAGCAGTCATAGCACCTACCGATATCAAGATATTAAATTTATAGCGACTCCTTGCAAAGTTCAAGCTACTAAATCACAAACAACAGTAGTAGTCAACCAAACTACTTTGTAACATGGTTTTCACACAGAAACCGCAAATTTTGGCAATCCGATGCTTTTGAAACCAATGATACAAAAACTACATTTAAGAAAACAAACAGGCTCGCAAAGAACGGATCTTTTCAGTAACTATGGTATCCTCGCATGCCATGGTAAATATGTAACTTGGTCTAAAGTGTTAAACCAGGCAGAGACAACCTAGCCGGAGAATGCCACCTCTGATGTAAGGCAGACATCTCCAACTTCTTATACTTGCTTCACCACAAACAGCTAGCATATAAATGGAAAGGAATGACACAAGTTCAGACAGCAGTAGATATGGTAACATCACTTGCAGCAGCCCCTGGAGATTCTAGTGGACTTTAGGCCAATTCAGAGAGACAAGATAGAAACTTGAAATTGCAATTTTAAGTATTTATTACGTTATTTAATTATAATTTTGAAAACAACAATAATATTACAAAGAAACATTAATGCAGTCAGTACTGGTAGCGGACAAGCCAGCCAGAAGAATCGGATGGATAGTGATAGTAGGGAAGGGTAAAACAGGAACATAATAAGAACAGTACGATGCACAAGAAGTTTGTCTTCTGACAGTACCTGAGATTTCAGTAACTCCAAAAACAAACATTATGCTCTTGAGATGAAATGGTGCACCAGTGGATGAGATTTCACAACGGTGAAGTTTCAAAAGAAGGGAGAAAGTGCAAGAAAATCTTTTAAAATCTGCAAGAGGAAAATGCAAAAAAGAAGATAAGGCCAACTTGAAATATGAACTAAGATGGTCCCTCGAAGCAGAATCTTGAACAATTCTTATGGGAAGTTTTAAGAGTAGAGCGGTGAGATCCGACATTCCAGATAAATCTTAGTAGAAAAGGAACCTCTGGAACAGAGAAACCTAAGAGATCAAAACAAAAAAGAAAAATTTTGGTTAAAGAAAGGGAAAAGGTTGAATCTTTTTAGGGCCAAAAGCCCTCTCATCAGCCAAGAGCCGAAAAATCCGGAGAGACGATATACAAATAGCCGAAAGGGCCCAAGATCCCCCGGAATGGGGTAATTAGCACAACCCAAGGCCGAGACCAAAGAACCATCACGGTCATCACGGTGACCCACAAAGGAACCCAAAGCTTACAAGGATAGACGAAAACCCAACCTGGAGGCGTCGAGGTCGAGAACATTCTCCCCGAAGGAACCTTCCGTCTCCGCGGGATCGACCTCCGGCGACACCTCCCGAACAGCCAACGCCGTGGCCTTTGTCTTCGTGAAACAGCGACTCTTTGTTGGTACGGACCCCACGGAGTCCGAATTCACCGGACTCTCTGCCGCACCGGCCGCCTGGTTCACGTGATTAGGGCTACGGCTAGGGCTAGCGTGAGAATTAGGGTTAGGGTCAGCGTTCGGCCTGTTCCTGGTAGCTGCCCTGGACCTAGCGGAAGAGGGGACGGGGAGGTGCTTCTCGAGACAGCGGCTTCGGAGCTGGAGGTAGCAGGACGCGGTGTCCGGTGACGTCTCCTGGAGGCGCTTGAGTGCCAGGGTTTTGGCCCTGGTGTGAACCCCGAGCGAGGGTTGATGGTGAACAGCCTCCGTGACCGCCGCCTTTCCGTCGATCTTGGCCTTCCTCGCGTACCTCCCCATTCCCGAACCCTGAGATTTCGTCATCAAAATCCGTTCTTTCAGCGGTAATCAAATCTTCAATGGCAGAAAGGTCAAAAAATTAAGATGACAGAAATCGTCAAGGAAGAACGAAGGGGGAAGCCGAGTGGCGGAAGCGAAGGGGAGGAGAAGCAAAGAAAGCCAAGCAGAGGAGGTGGGAAGCGAGAGGACGAGGGAGGAAAACAGCACGCGCGAGGAGGGAGATGGCAACACCGAAGATTTGGACGGCTTTCTTTCCCCTTTCCTTGTTCCTTTTCTCCGCTGGGCAGATGGGAATGATTTGTAGGTGGACACACTTCCCCGTGTGGGATAGCATCTCGAAGTCCAACTCTGCGCGGTGGAAGGGTAGTATGGGCAATAAACATCGAAAGCAGTTTTTCATAACCTCATTTTATTATCTGCAATCTTATTTTAATATTTTTAATCTACCTAAACTATTCTTTCATATATATATATAATATGTAAAAGTTTGGATATCATAGGAAGAAACTAAAAAAAAACATATACTTTGATTCATATTTTTCCCATGGAATCGATGAAGCTCGCGAAGAATGAGAGGCAATTGGCACCCAATGAGGTCCGCGACGACCTTGACAGCTTAGAGAGCATTGGTGATGACTTGGAGAGATACGACATGGGTAGGGTTGTGGGCACTAAGCAACGATAGAGAGAGTCAGTAATGATTTAGAGAGCAACTACGTGGGTGAGACTATAGGCAGCAAGTGATGGTGGGGAAAATACGTGATGGCTATAGACAGCGATGGAATGGGTGGGGCTATAAGGAAGGGTTATGGAGAAATTATGGAGAAAAAAAATGAAAAAAAAGGGCAAAAAAAAAAACTATATGGTTATGAATAGTATATTATTATCTTATTAATTTTAAAAAAAATTATAATAATTAAAAGATTATGATTAATAAAAAGGGACTCTAAACAGTCACGCTCTTATTTCATTCCTCCGTCTCTTCCTTCTCCATAATCATGAAAATGGATAACAAAAAGGGGCTCTAAATTACATGGACTAGTTCTGTTTGATTCAATTTAGTATGTTTAGTTTTGATTCAATTCGATTCACATAGTTTTCTCAGGATAATTTCATTAGATATTCACAAGCATCTAAATCAATTGCTTTCTTAATTTTAGTATCTTCTCTTATTTCATGATTATTATGATTATTCTTCATCAATGTTATGAATAATTATTATTTTATTCGATATGTGATTCGATTCTATTCACATGTTATTCTTAGGAGTATCTTATATTTCAATTTATATGACTTTCCCAAGAGAACCTGGGTATTTTTCTCCTTATAGTTTTTTTTTATAGATTTTCTCACTATATCTCCTTAGATTTTTTTGTTTATAATTTTTTTCTTAGTGTTATTACATGGGTATCGTTGATCAGGGTAGTCTTACAGGTACAAACACACTCTAGAAGCCCAAACGAATGAGAGGACGGTTCGTATACTGAATGAAGTTTGAAGTATTCCCAATGTGTTTCTAGATATGCGAGAGTCTTACACAATTGGTTAGTGTCGGGAAACTTCCTGACTTGACCCTTTCGACACACAAGTTAATAGAGAAAGTATAGAAGATTTAAAAGGGCTTAAAAGAGTTTTCTATAATTTCTCATGCTATTATGAGTTCATTTATGTCAAATGCTAGTGAATATATCTTCCCGTTGACAACATTATGGAAGGACGTCTAGAGGCGCATTGTCTATCCAAGTAGTGATATGTCCAAAATAGATAAGAGATGAGGATTGGTATTAAGTGCCTCAAAGAGTTGGGTCATGTCATTTAAGAATTAATGATCTCTATGATTAATCGTGTGATCCTTTTCGAAATCATAGTTAAGAACAACGGATGTCTGGAGACTAGTGACCGGGGGAGGGGGGGAGATCGAGAGGTGATGGTGATGTGATCGAGAGAAAATTGAGAGAGTGGGTCCGATTACTATATTCCAATGATCATCTTATGCGACTTCTCACATGATGGGACAATGTGCATTCTAGTGTCGATTCGAAGTGGCAGTCTATTACCCGTGAATCAAAAGTGTAATACCATTGTTTTCTTTATCACTTACATTTTTTTTTCTTTGAATAATTTTTGTCTTAGGATTTTCTCTCTATGAGATTTCAGTATCCTCAAATTTTATCGCAATCATTTCTCCTTGGATTTTCTCTCTACTAATTTCTTAATTGTCTCTCTTTTATTTCTCTTTCTAAAAGTTATCCTTTTAGATGAAATATGATCTCTTTTATTTGTCTACATCTCTCTTATTGTAAGTTTCTCTTTATCTATCTTTTTAATATGTAACTTAACCTCGAAGATCAGACACACTCTGATATAGTATTGAAATATCTTTCAAAAAGATGATAAAAATTAAATTAAAATTTTACATTAATATAATTTACAATAACATGAGCTTTTTTTTTTGAAACTAGACACACTCTATCTCATCTCTCCTTTCAATTGTGTATTAAAATATTATATGAAACTTTATTTACAAAGGGATAAAAACTTAAGAATTTAATTTAACTATTATAAAAATTCATATCTTGGCAAAGACTCCTAAGCCAAAATATTGTCTAATCATTTGATCTAATATTACGACAATATCAACATGGAAGCCTAACTTCCTTTCTTTCATTTGCATCAGTTATCTCTCTATCGTTGTTTTTAACTATAAAACGGGACGTCGCAAAATACATTATTCTTTGCCAATCATTCACTTCATGGATCATTTCCTTACATTCTCTTTCCTCTCTTCGTCTCCCTCTATTGGATATAACTAACATAATAGCTTGGTGCTCATGAAAAATTCGAACTTGAGAATTTGTATTCGACTAAGTTCGATCTATTTGAAATAATGTTTATGTTAGTCGAACTCTAGCCAATAAAAAAACATCACATATTTGTTCAAATCAAATGTAAATAAGGGTAAATTCTAATGGCTTATTCCCCTTGATTACACCCCTAATAATTAATCTTTCTTCGGTGTAGGCAGTATTCATACTAATTTGCTGCTACATATATCCTTCCCCAATATTCTACCTATTCCTTGGAATATACTAACATCAATCGGGGGGGGGGGGGGGGGGGGGATTATTCCTTGGAATCCTTTGAATCGACTTACTTATTCGTTGGAATTCATAGATGGGTAGGTACTACTCATACACCTTGAGCGTGATGGTACCACCTACCACACGTGAGCACCATCACCCTCAGTGACATCTGGTGATCCCAATTAACTCTCTCTCGTGCGGGAATGTGCACTTGCTCCTTCATATGATCTCCATGCTCCTTATTTATTACTGTATGATGACCCACCCCTTCCTCCCTCCTCCTCCTCCTACTCGATCATGATATAATAATATATGGTCCTTCGTACTTCCATTTTGTTTTGCTTTTTCTGTGCCTACAACCCATCTCACTCGTGCGTGTTTGTGTTTGTGTGTGTGCATGAATCAACGTAGCTCGCTGGAATGAAACATTCCAAAGGAAAGGCGACGAGTTAACACATTCTCTAATCCATGGCAGAAACTGCAGTCATCATCTCTTTATCGCCTTCTGCTGTTGCATGCATGCAGTCGGTGTTTACGTACGAGGGAATAGCAGTGGAGCGTGCTGCTGCAACCCATGGTCACGCCACACGCTGCTCCACTTTCTTGCAGTTGGCATGCAGCAACAGCAGGTCAAACCTGGAACAGCACTCCGGCAGTCATTGGATTCTTGAGAAAGCCAGGCCGCAAAGGCGGTCGAGGTAAAGAAGACGACACGAGCTCCGGACGCGGTAAAAGAAGAGCCAAAAGAGGGGGTGAAAGGCTGCAAAGGTAAGTGGCCAGAAGCACCATCCGAGGGTACGGCCTGCCCGTGGGGATTATTTCAATCATATCTTGTGGCCTTTTCTGTGGTTGGATTCAATGTTGTTGGTGGATTCCCCCATGCACGTAGATCTCGTGACGCATAAACAATTCCCGATCGACGTGAACCCACCAAGAATGCCTCCTGCCCACCTCTATGTATGTGGCTTTCTGTCAGTGAGAACGGTCAAGGAAGAAGACGCGTCTCTCCACGGCACGAACCGGAGCTCGAGTCGCCTGTGAGCTTTTAAGGAGTGGGGACTGAGCTCACCGGGTCCTTCCGCATAGGCTTAGGTCATTTATTCTTCTTCATGCTTCCCACTTAGGTCCCCACGCCATCCATGGCAGGCCACGAATCTATATATCTTATTACGGCATGTCGAATGGGTGGGTAATAACCTTCTTTTTGTTTACTTACTTGACAGCATTCACCGATGGGAATACGAGCATTGAGGACGCTTCTGACAGTTCGTTTCTGGATCACGAGATCAGCCAGTGTTTGACACTCGAGGGACTCGCAATGTTGCAGCTAAATTGATTGGGTGAAAGCCCCGCCACCAACGGAATGTCAAAGAGAACGGTAATTGGCTGACATCTGACTCGATCGCCTTACTGTCTTCTACAAACCCTGAAATCCACTTCTCTCCTGTCTCACAGCTTTTGTTTCTGCCTCCTCCTCCTCCTCCCCTTTCTTCTCGCTTGACCAATCCCTCATCCTCCTCTCCCAAGTTGGAAATTTTCCATGGAAGCTGAAAATTTGCAAATTCAAATCATCTATCTTCTTTGTATGAAAATTGATGTATACCTTAATCAATATTTGAATATTTGAGATAAATTAAAAAAGAATGTTGAGCATTGATATAACTATCTATCTTTTATAATTGATGCACATTTTATGATGATATTTTGAGTGACTTATCAAGCTTCCGATGAAAACGAATATTCCAGACCCGAGCTATACGAAGCCCAACAAACCAACCAACATATCAATGATATTATTAATGAAATAATGAGAGAAAATATGAGACCAGACGGATTTTAAGATCTTTAAATGTAAGAGCAAACAAGGACTTCAATTCTGGACACCTATTTATAATGCTTGACATTTTTTGTCTGCATTCGGCCACAATTGACAACCGACATGTCCGATTGACTGTCTCCTAACAGTGTCTGGCCATTGGTATGCTGGGCATTCATGTCCGTGTAGGGTTTGATCCACAGTTTTGGTTGGATAAAGCATCAGTGCATGCCTCCTTAGCTGCTGTTCCACTGTTTTGTTGCCCTGCTATCTTTTGTTGTGTTTCCCCTCTCATCACGCATCTCCTCGAGTACAAGTCAACGACTGATGCATGCGCGTTGCATGTCCGGCCGAATGCTATGAGGAAGTCATGGAGAGCATATGTGCATGGATATCTTCCTACGATGGATATATGTATTCATACGTAA